CCTTCTCTTTTCTGGCATGGATCAGCAAGATTCTTTTATGTTAAATATTTCTTGAAGCTTTGTGTGTATCTTTTTATGTCTGTGTATAAGTGCATATTTTTCTGTGTATATGTATTTATCTGTGTATGAATTGTTGATGCTTATGTTCATTCAAGTTGCCACTCCTTTAAGGATTTGTTTTTATGTGTGCTTAAGCATAAAATTACATGGATTTTCTTTAGAATAATCAGTATCCAATTGGTATTGCTCATTTATGAATATGTGTAGATATGTGTGAGCATGTATGCATGTGTGTTTGTGACAGCATACAAAGATACCTTAACTACAGGAGGGAAGAGAATTCTCAATGAAAGAGACCTTCAGCTCAGAATGTCTAAGAGTGAATCTACATTACACATACACAAGTGACTTGCATATATGTTTGATCACTAGCGTCCCCAAAATATGTGTCAGGGGATAAATATCCCTAGTCCAACCTGTCCCAATGAGGTAGCATATTGGAACAGCTGCACGTAAATCTTACTTTCATTAAAGCATTTCTTTAAATGTCCTGGGTTGGACCAAGATACAGTTTGTTCACGTTAGCATTGGACAAAGGCTGGTTATATGCATTTGCACGTGTGAAAGGAGAGAATTTGGCAATCTCCCATTCATCATTGTTGTAACTCTCTTTGTTCAAATATACATTTCAAAAATGCTGTCCTTCTGACAAGAAGGTGACACTGCTAATACTATCAGTTGGTAATACACTTTAAGCTGTTTCTCCAGAAATGAAAAAAAATAATTTTGTAGTGCTATTCAAAGAATAGTTTTGTTGGGTCTTCCAGATGACTGATAACCCATGTTCAGATAAAAGCTGGCCAGGGCGAGTGGTACAGTCTGTGTCAACAGCCATACATGGGATTTTAAAACCACATGCCCATAGTTCTTTAGCATCACACTCAAACTCACAGAGCTAAATGACTGCACATGGGTTAGAGCCTAAGACCTAGAGCTCATTAGCACCATGTTTCAACCAAATAAGCCCCCCAGCCATAAATTACTTACAATGGTAGCACCCTCAGACTTGACTGGGTGCCGAGTTCAGAATAGTTGCTGCTGAAAAAATCTAGGCAAAGCCCACAAAAAACTCAAACTACCAAAAGGCCCCGTTCTTCAAGCACCCTGTACATCACCAAAGCTGATGGGTAGGCAAAGGTCTGTGAGTGTGAAGTCAAGGCAGCAGCAAACATTGAAGCTGGATCATCTGTCAAGCATGGAACCTTGCAGTTCTCTGGCCTAACTGGATGTGTGTGGGGGGGTCTGATTCTTTGGAAGATAAAGGATGGAGTAAGGAGGGGTTTTCCTTGGAATGACAGAAAATTAAGTAAAATAAATAGCACAATAGTCATTTAAATTACAATGATAGCCCTTTTATCTGAATTTCTCTGAAGTCTAAGCAGGTAAAAGAGCATATCAGAGCAAGGTATAATTTCTCCAAGGAGCACTGGGTACCTAAGGGGCAATTCCACTCGGCCCTCTCTGTATGCGGAAGCAGAGCCCTAGACAGTCAGCCTGATTGTCCTGGGATGTATCCATCCTGCCAAAAAGAAATGAGATGAACAACTTTCTGTCAGTTAGAAGAATGAGAAGGATTTACATAAAGAGGGAGAAAAATATACTAGCAGAGCTCCCACTCACAAAGACTCCTAATCTCAAAAACAGCTGAAGCTGAAAGGTGGTGATAGGTGAATGTTCAATTATAATGGTGGCACCAGCAGATGTGGTCATCTACTTAGCCCAGGACTTCTTTAAATATTTTGTCTTGTACTTGTTTGAATAGAGTTCTTTCTTTCTTTCTTTCCTTCTTTCTTTCTTTCCTTCCTTCCTTCCTTCCTTCCTTCCTTCCTTCCTTCCTTCCTTCCTTCCTTCCTTCCTTCCTTCTCTCTCTTTCTCCCTCCCCAACTTCCAGAACGCCCGTCATCATTTTCCATCCAAGGTCCACAAAAACTATTGCTGCTGCTTCTGGGTGAAGATGAGAGAAAGCGTTATAAGATATATTTTAAGGATAAAACTTCTAAATTGTGAATCCATTTCTCCTCAGAGCTCTCTAGGCTCAGAAATAATTGGATTTAAGCTTGCAGGGGGAGGTAGTCTGTCTGTCTGTCTGTCTGTCCGTCTTTCTTTCTTTCTTTCTTTCTTTCTTTCTTTCTTTCTTTCTTTCTTTCTTTCCTTTCTTTCTCTCTTTCATTCTTTTTTTTTCATTTTACTTTTAGTAGCAAGGGTAGGAAAGGAGAGATTAAGGGTTCATCCATGAAAGTGAAAAGGGAAAGAAACAGTTTAAACTACAGCTCTTTCCTTCAAATTCTTCTCGGTCTAAAAAAGGATGAAATAATTTAGCAAGTATAGAAAATTTCCATGAGTATTTAGAGTTCTGGCTTCAAAAATTCTGCTGTCATCAAGTGGGATGAGACAAACGAGAAGCTAAACTCTAGTTAATCTGCTTCGTGCCCTTGGATTTCCCTTTTCCTGAGGAAACTTAAGGACTCAAAGAACTTTGAAAATGTCCTTTGTTAAAAATAGAATGATTAAGATGAAGAGAAGAAAGAGAAGATGGTTGAGGAAAAAGAGGTGGAAGAAGAAGCACAAATACATCCTAATGAGATGATGCTAACTGTTCTCAAAACTGAGTAAAGCTAATGGGTTGGGGAAGTCACCACCAAGTTCACAAGAAATATAGCAGCAAAAGTCTAAAGTCAGTCAGCTGGGCCTGGGACTTCCAAAAATCGCCAGGGTTACCTTGTGGGATAAAAGTCAGTCAATGGTGGTGGTTATTAGTTATTTTACATTTTTTAGAAGTTATTTTGCTACTTTGGGAGTGTGTCTATGGGAAAGGGAAGGGGCGGGGGAAATGAGCAATAGTTAAAATGCTATATAATAGAGTAAAACACACACACACACACACACACACACACAAACATGAGTGGCTAGAGAAGAAACATTCTTGAACTGGGTACGATTCCTCCAAGGTAAACTGGGTCACGTTCTTGAGGGTCACTGCATGTTATTCACTTCTCAACAGACACAGAAGTTATGGCCAAAGTCTGGATAATTTCCTCTATAATCCTGGGGTGAACTATCCTATCCCACAGCAAGGCATAATGGACACTGACCTTCTGATAGTTAGAATTGAATGAGAAAGAGAAATATAGAAGAGAGAAATATAATCAGTGGTCTTGCAGAGACTGTAAAGTTTAAATCCAGAGGCTGCAACTCAGCAGCTTTCCAGATCATCGGGCTTCCACTGAGGGTGAGAAAATTCTGAATTCTTAAGAGAAGAGAGAAGAGAAGAGAAGAGAAGAGAAGAGAAGAGAAGAGAAGAGAAGAGGAGGAATATGTGAGGAAATTGACTGACAATAGTTAAAATACAATGGGAAAGCAGTAGTTTAAACTACCTATCAGAGTTCAAAGAAAAATGAGGAGGAATGAAGGAAAAAAGAAATAGAAAAGAAGTGGTGCTAAAGAAGGAAGAGACTCAGGAAGAATGAGAAAACTGGAGAAGGAAGAGGAGTGAAGAGGAGGGGAACAAAGAAGACATGAAAAGAGTGTGGGAGGAAGGGAGAAATTTTTAGGAGGGGGAAAGGGAAGAAGAAGAAGAAGAAGAAGAAGAAGAAGAAGAAGAAGAAGAAGAAGAAGAAGAAGAAGAAGAAGAAGAAAAAGGTGGAACAGAGAAAGTAGAGGAGGAGTAGGTGAAAGAGAAAGGAAAGAGGGGAGGAGGGAAAAGGAGGGGGAAAGGAGAGGATGAAAAGGGGAGAGAAGAGGGTGTGGAGAAGGGAACCAAGAGGAGGATGGAAAGAATATGAGGAGAAAAAAAAATCCTACCTCCTCTTGGCATCATCCTGACACACACAAGCTATACCCTTCAAAGTGCCTTAATAACATTGTCTCTACATGAAAGGATGCGGCAGGAGAAGGATGCGATCATTACTTCCTTC